AGAAAATTGGATGAAAACTAACGGCATGGACTAAATTGACCATTTAAAATAATTTGAGGGCTAAATTGGCTGAAAAAATAATTTAGGGTGGACATTTCAACAATTGATATAGTTCAGGGAGGTATTCGACAGTTTACCCAAAAAAAAAATTAAAAAAACCAAAGCATAATTAAAAACAAAACACAACTGAAGCATAATTCAAAACAAAACACAAACAAAGCATACAGCAACATAAAGCCAAATTAAAAACAAAGCATCTTCACTTCACTTCATTCACCGTCATTGCCTCTTACCGCCCATAAGCGCTCCATCAAGTCAACTTGACGTCGTTCATGAATATAAGACGATTGCATCTCTGTATATCGATCAATCATACGGTTCATGAAACGACCGTCCTTAACCAACGGTTCATGCTCTAGTGGTTGTTCATTTGCTCCTATGAGCCTTTCATAAATTCTTGTCAATGCTGTGTTCATGGGATCTGGTTTGAATACGTCTGGTGACAAAACCCGACCCAAATTCCACTTTGGAATCTGCGCCGAACCCTGTGCATGTTCAACACCTAGCAGGAGCCAAACACACTTGACCGAACTGCCTTTCTAACAAAAACCAAAATGTGCTTCAAGGTAGACTTCTGCCGAAAATTCAACAAAGTCTCCCATGTAATTCGCTCGTTTCCCAAATTTTTTACCTGTATAAAAACATGATTTTATAATCCCAAACGTTCAGCATTCACAATAATAGAATCCATGCAACCAAACATCACATCCTTTTTAGCCCCAGGCCTCTTAAAACCAAATAAATCGTTCTGCCATCTAAAACTGATCTCAACTTTTAGAACATCAAGAGTACGTTAACAAATCTCAAAATGGCTTAGCAGAACAACCTTTCAATCACTTGAACTTGCAGTTGCACCTAGTAACTCTAGGTTGCCTACGTACCCTTCTGAGGGATCAAGCCACATGTAGTTCTTTCACTTTTCACATTTGGACTTGTATAACTTCATCAATTGTTGTTTCTCAATGAAATTTTCAAATCAAACCATTGGAATTCAAGCAAGGGTTGTTGATTTCAGCACAATCTTCTATTCATCCCATACGAGCATATACAAATATATATTTAATTACTTATTACAGATAAGTAGCAAATGAGAAAATTATTAAAATAGCACTGACCCCGTGAAACCTAAATGTCATTATCAACAATTTAAATAAAAACCTACCTCCCTCTTACTCAAGTAACAACAAATTCATTACTCAAGAAAATAGTTATAAATTGTATAAACTATTTAAAACTTAGAAACCCTCAATCCTTGTCTCACACATTGGAAAATATGTATTAAAGCTTTTACTAATAAATATCAAGTTAAAATCACTAATTTTTGTTTAAACATCTCATTTACTCTCCACCTAGGTGTAACCCCCATTCATATTCCATCAATTCCGATAATATTCCGTCAATTCCAGGTATCCTATCTGTTACCTCCTCGCAGGCCTCGGAAACACGAAGTCAATCCGAGCCGCATTCCTCGCAGGCCTCGGGACCATAAAGTCAACCTGAGCCGCATTCCTCGCAAGACTTAGGGGACCATTAGTCAGCCTAAGCCGCATTCCTCGCAGAACTCGGGGGACATGTGGTCAGCCCAAGAACGCACATCCTCGCACCACACGATTTAAGCGTCCCCGAAACTCGTGTGGCATTATCATAAATGACAATTGTTTCAAGATAACTAGGGGTACTCTTGTGGAGTGTTTGAAAACTATATTTCGAAACTTATCATAAAATTTCCCATATTCTACAAATCCATATTTCAAACCTTTTCTCAACTTTCCAAAAACCAGTCCTCAACTACCCTTGAATTTACACCACATATTGTTGAGAAATAGTGTCCATAATTCATCATTTTCAACTACTAAGTATATATATTGAATATAAATATGCACTTAGATATTTAATTAATTTATTAATCATGCCGAAATCTAATTAGCAAACCATTCCATTCCGATACTATAATAATAATCTTAATAGTAATAGATAACTAAATAAATAAATAATAACTAACCACTTCTCCTAGAGATTTCACCATTTCCAATAATACATAATCTTCAAATATCAAAATAATAGAAATATTCACAATTAGCAATTTATATACATAAATATATACATATATATTTTCATCCCATACTCATATAAACCCATAATAGGTTTCATGGTAATTTAATGAAAAATAATAACCTTTAAAGAAAATATCATATCGAATCAATTTCCAACCTAAAACCATTATACAAGAAATTCCATACTATAACATAAAGACAAATCCTAAAATCCCTCAAAAATCAATATAGCTCCATTAACAGTCAAGACTTGCTAATAAGGTCGTTCTAGTACTTCTCAAAAGGTAAAGCTACCTCGGAAGACTCACGGTCAACCGAGGGGTCAAACTATCCAAACTTGGTCAACCGGGCCCACGGGGCCCACGACCTCCGATTTCCGATCCGAAGGTTCCTGCGAGTTCCACAAGGTTTACTAAGCATGTCTTGCAAGTTTGGTTCGAATCGAAAGGTCCGGTCACTCACGATCGCACGATCGGACGGTTATCGTTTAACACAAACTTTAAGTTATTGAATTGGAACATCCGGGGCTCCGATTCATGATCCGCGAATTCCTACACGATTCTAGAGATGTCTAGATTAACATATAATAAATTGGAGTCGATCCAACGGCCCAAACATGTCAAACCCGGATAACGTCTAATATGCGATATCCGATCGACGATCAAACAGTATCCAAATTTATATCCGAGCATACTGTCGTGCTCGGGACGAAATGATGATGATTTTAGGACTCAAGGACTGGCCCAAAAGTGGCCCATGCGTTGTCGGCACGTGGGTGTCCAAAGCGATTCCAGCAATCAAAAAATCTCTAAACCTCCGGTTAAAACTTATACCTACATGATCACCACAAAAAGTCGACGGAAGTGGCCGGAATCGTAGGCCAGAAACCGGGCAAACTATTATCACTTAAATACCCTCTAAAACTCATAAATTTCTCCTAAATACCACAACCAGCAGCTAGAATGCATTGAAAGGATGAGAAAGTATACCAAATTCGAAGAAAATGGTGGCTGGAGTTGTTTGCACAAGCTCCAAGAAATATCTCTCACGAAGACCGGCCAATTTTCTACAAAATCCAGCGGTGTTTGTTCAGTTCATTTTTACACATGATTTTTCATGTTATTCACCCACTATTTTGAGTTAGTTCTTGACATTTTATAGCTTTTTACTTCCTTTTTGTGTTTTCTTAGATTTTACCTTGGTTGGAATGAAAATGAGCTAAAAGTGCATTATTGGTTATAAATTCTGTTTTTGTTCATTTTCGTAGGTCAACTTCTTGGCCTGGGATCAACATGCTCTGGTGCTCGGATGAGGTCATGATCTTCATGAGACTTGTTCCAATGGATGTTAACTACAACATATCCAAATTTGAGCTCCATTGGACAAGTATTGCCTATCCAACCAATCCAGCATGTTACCACAGCTCTGGAAATCCGGATTTGGCCAGCTTTTGCCTCCTTTGTGTTATCTTGATTTTCTTGTTACCATAACTCTTGGTAACAAGAAGTTACCTTAGCTTTGAGATAATTTCTGAAGCAATTGGCATCTTTGTGAGGACAAAGCTTCATGATGGCAAGGGGACAATGGGCTAAGGCTTTATCAAAGGTGGTAGTTTAATATTAAAAGGTAAAAGCTGGAAAGGAGGAGAGAGGGAAGAGAAGTCAAAGGTGCAATCTGATTTGGGGGAAGCTTGAAACGGGAGAGA